ATTTATCAAGGGAAAACAGGAAGGGGAAAAGGAAGGAAGGAAGGAGACAAAATGCTTCTGGAGCAGAACAAGCTTTTTCCTTTTGTCCCGTGGCTGAGAAAGAACCTGCAGGTGCACACACTAACAAACGTCCCAGATGACCCTGGAGCACTGGGAGGGGAGGTCACAGCCCTCAGCAGCCCTGGCCATGCCCCAGGTCATGGAGGTGTAAAGCTGTGGTGACCCCTGAAGGGGAATGGCTCCCCAGCTGAAAGGCGGGAGGCCAATGCTTGCTTCCCAGCCACTCTCTGCTTGGCTGAGATCCAGGGAGAGGAGACGGAGAGGGAGAGTGGATGGGGCAGGGACACTGAACAGCTTCTCCCTTTGGTGTCTTAGTTACTTTTCACCACTGGAACCGAATACCCACTACCCACAGCCTAAGGAAGGGGAGATTTATTATGGCTCACATTTCAGTTCATAGCTGGCTGGCTTGAAGACAGGATGGCATGGCAGAGGGGCACGGTGGAAAGGAAGCAGAGAAGAAAATGAGGAGCCAGGGAGGGAGTTAATCCATTCCAGGCTATGTCCCCATTGATCCGCCTCTTCCAACCAGATACCACCTAACAGCACGTCAGCTCTCAGCCTCCAGAATCCATAAACCTTTCAAAAGCCCCACCTATGAGTGAATGAGACTGTTGGAGGACATCTAGACAGAAACCATAGCAGTCAGTTTTCTGTGCAACACCCTTTGCCACCTGAAGGTAAAGGCATTGTTTTGCCTTTGATCTTGTGCCAAATTACAATTTTGATTTCAAGGCAAGCATGGAAAGGGGCAGAATCCACAGACAGCTGGAGAGTCTCCTGGGAAAGGCCTGCTAACTGGCCCCTTCAGCATAAGTTGCTCTCAGCATTCTGGATTGCAGGAGGTGGGTGGGGATCAGCCAAACCTGCCAGTGCCATGACCATGGCTGGCACCAGCACAGGTAGTCTGAATACTAGTGCATGTGTTGGTACCTAGTTCATCCAGGACCACTAGTTATACTAGATGTTTATTATGATTTTAGGCACTGTGCTGTGCACAAACACTAACTTAATTCTTAAGCTACCTTATGATGTCAGGTTTTTACCAGCACCAGGGAATAGATGAGTCACCAAAACAATAATATACTAGGGTTTCTGTGGAACAAGTCCCCAAGCTGGGATTGAGTTCATGCTTTTGATTCCTGCTCCAATATCCTGGACATTCAGGACCTAAAGACAAGACCTGAGGTTTCCGTGTTGGTCCAGGTCTTTGGGGAGCGGAAGTACAAGAGATTGATGAGAGAAAATGCCAGCAAAGGACCACATGGAGAGAGAGTGGGGCAGGCAGCAGGAGAAGGTGGGTGAGTGGTCAGACATGGTGCAGGTCTGACCCCTGTGAGGGACAGGAAAGAAGAATCCCCCCTTGGTCAGGCTGATGGGGAGTCCAGAGCAAAGACTGCTTTGATAGGAGTCCTGGGCTGGGTGGCAATGGTGGCTGTCATGCCCCTGTGCTCAGTGGTAGGGTGGGGTATCATGTCTCTAGGGTGCATCCTCTAGGCTGTGACACTGCTGCTTGTAAATGTCTCTCCTGAAGGGAGGCTAGGCACAAGCTCCATGGCTGCTGCTGGCTCTAGCTTTGAGCAGTCCACAGCCTGTTTACCAGGCCACTGCGGGTTTGGGAGGGATTTTGTGAAAACTCAAAGTGGAATGTCCAATGCAGCCTTCTGGGACAGAAATGATTTCCTGATTGGTTGAGCAGGGACCCCATCAAGAGGGCCGGTTGGAGTCAGCAGGGGATTGACATGCAGGCACCCCCATACCCACCCTCAGTCAAACTGTGGGCTTTGCTGTGTGGTGTCAACCACTCAGAGGGGCATCTTTGTCTAACCTGCACCAAGGTGGGGAGAGTGTAGGAAACCAGCAGCCTTCTGAGAGAAGAGGAACTGGGCCTCCCGTGAGGAGTCTGGGGCAATGGGAACAGGGCAGGGAATAGGTGGAGGTGTTAAAGTAGTGAAGTCTTCAGTACAAGGAAGGTGAGCAGTAAATCTAGAGAGGGAGGTGGGGTACGGGGCCAGGGAGCCTCATCTTCTCTGATTGTTCCTGGGCCTGCATTTCAAGGGAGAGAGACAAGACAGGGCCAATTTGGTGTTGCTGATCAGCTTTGGATATGAAAAAGTCAAGTCTGAAAGATAACAAATGTTGTCAAGGGTGTGGAGAAATGTGTGCCCTTGCACATTGTTGGAGGTGTAAGTTAGTGCAGCCACATGGAAAGGTGCAGGGAGAGCCCTAAAAAAAATTAAAAGTAGAGCTATCTTCTGATCCAGCAGTTCACCCTCTGGGAATGTATCCAAAGGAAATGAAGTCTATCTGTCAGAGACATCTATACTTCCGTGTTCATTGCAGCACTAATCACATAGCCAAGGTATAAGATTTAACCTAAGTATCCATGATGGATAAATGGAGAAAGGAAATGTGGAGTGCTATAAAAAGAGAAAAGCTTGTCATTTCTGACAACATGGATGAACCTGGAGGACATTATTTTAAGTGGAAAAGAGCCAGCCACAGAGGGACAAGTACCGCATGATGTCACTTACATGTGAAATCTAAAAATGTTGGACTCGCAAACGCTGATGGTAGAATGGTGATGAGAGGGGCCGGTGAGGGGACACTGGGGAAATGTTGATCAAAGGACACAAAATTTCAATTAGACAAGAAGACTGAGTTCAAGAGGCTTGTTGCACGTTGTGATGACTGTAGTTGGTTAACAAATACTTCTGTTTGCAAACAACTTGATTCTCAAACAGAAGTGTTTGGCAAAATTTTGTTTTTGTTTGCCAACTCTTCATCGGGTGACAAACACGACTGTGGCCGTCTTTCCCACACAAACACAAACGTGACCATATTTTCCAAAATCGTAGAACAAATTGATTTTGGGCACTGAGATACCACTGTATTTGAAAATTGTCAAGAGAATAGATCTTAAGTATTGTTACCACAAAAATTTGATGTGTGTAAGGTAATGCTTATGATAAGTAGTTTGACTTACTCATTTTGCAGTGGATACACATATCAAAATGGCATGTTGTGTATCAAAATCTATACCATTTTTGTCAATTAAAAAATAAAAATAACCAAAGGATTTAAAAGACACTTGTTTAGAAGAAAAGAAATAGACAAGTTGAGTCCTATTCAGATGTAACTGTGAAGTCCCCACTCTGTCACACCACTATCTTTCCATCCCTGGCCTTAGCGTGGTGCAGCATGAGGTGCCCGGTGGGGTTGGGAGTGACATCTGGCCCTTCTTTCCAGCCCCCATGCCTTTCTCTGTCTCTCTCATTTTCCCCTTAGACAGTCTGGTTGGGGATGGGGTAGCTGGCCTGACTGCCTTTGGATATGAGTCCTGGGAAAGGAAGAAATTGGTGGTTCCTAAACATAAGGCTGTCTTGAGGGTGTGGAGCATCTGATAATGCAGTTGCTGCTGTGTCCTCTCCTCTGGCCATCAGGAAGGGGAGGGTGTGTGCTGTGTTGGGTAGGCGAGCCATGGGAGGGGATCTGACCATGGATACGCTTGGAAGTGACTCTGTGGACTCAGTAGGGGGTGGTCCCAGGTGGGTAGCAACTCTCAGAGTCACAAAGATGAGAAGCTCAGGTACTCCTACCCCTCTGCTTGGCACGGACCATGATATTCCTGCTGGCTGAATGAACACGAGGGGCCAACAGGTGGGTGTGCAAAGGGACAATGTGTTGTAATTTGCTGCTCCTTCAAAACAGCAGATGATCCCAGGACCCAACATCTCCACAGCTATTCTCCTGTAAAGACCAACTTGAATTCTGTATGACTTGAAGGTCCTAGTATGCCTTTGAAGTAGACAGTTATAGTGACTTAACTGTCAAAGGATATTGGACAAACTGAGGGCTTGGCAACAGGTCTGATAGCCAGGGGAGGGCAGAGTTGGGGATTTGTCTCTTTTGACTCCTCCTCCTCTTCTCAGCTTCTGCCCTTCAGAGCCCGGTCCACCAAAAGCGTGGTCTCTCCCCATTTTTAGGTGTTAGCTTTCTATCACTGTGACAAAATACCTAGGAAAAACAACTTCAAGGGGGAAAGTGGTTTCAGACATTTCAATCCATGGTCACTTGTCTCCATTGCTCCTGGGCACATGATGTGGCAGAACATCATGGCGGGGAGTGTGTGAAGGATGAGGACAAGGGCATGTCTTCAATGACCTACTTCCTCCAGCTAGGCCCTGCCTCCTAAAGGTTTCACCACTTTCCAATAACTCCATCACTGGGGACCAACCAAGCCTTCAACACATGGATCTTTGAAGACATTTCAGATCTGAGCCATAACAGTCACCAGTGTATAGCGCCAGGTGTGACATCCATTCTGTGAGCAAACCACACTGTGTAGGATGGCAACACCTTAGGGAGTTCTGTTCCTTTAGGGAAGGGGAAGTTTCAGCTTCAATCCATGCCCCTTTTGTATTTTTGGCTTTGTATTTGGAGGGAGGAAATTATTTTAGGCCATAAGGGAAGACACTGTTTTCAGGATGTCACTTATGGTAGCAGAAAGGTAAGTGGGGCCATAGTCGCCAGTCATTCCAGGGAGTCATTAAAACAGGACTCTAAGGCTCTCCACAGAGCAGTGACTGCTGACTCATATCTGTAATCAATAGATGCTATAATTCTAGCTCATTACTAATTCCTTGCTTAACCAATTATCCAAATTAGGGTGGCTTAATTTGGAGGAATGTGTGTGCAACTCAGGGCCTGGTAGAAACTTCCCTTACATTCACAGCTGATTTCTTTGGGCCAAGATGCCCTTCTGTGAATGGAGAGAAGCACGGATCAGTCCCGGGTCCTTCCCCTCCTTTTCTAGTACCCTACACATCAGGGTCTGTGCATGGACTGAGCCACAGGATGAGGGGCAAGAGTGAGTAGGGGAAGGAGGGGAAGGAGGTGCAGAATCTGCTGACTTTTTAAATTTTTTTTTTTTAAATCAGGAATTATTAGCCGAGAAAATGCAGAGGATCTCCTGGAGAACATGACTGAGGGTGCCTTTCTGGTCCGAGTCAGTGAGAAGATCTGGGGTTATACCCTCTCCTACCGCCTGCAGAAAGGCTTCAAGCACTTCCTTGTGGATGCGTCTGGGGACTTTTACAGCTTCCTGGGAGTGGACCCCAATCGCCATGCGACTCTCACGGATCTCATTGATTTTCACAAGGTATTCTTCTTCAGCATGCCGGTCAGGCATGAAATGGGTGGAAACCTGGGCCCAAGAGAGACCAAGCAAGCACAGGAAGTCTGCAGGTTCCACATCATGGGCCACAGTCTCAGGAACCTAGAACACCAGGGGAGAGGAGACCAGAGGTTGTCCAGGCCAGGCCCTGAAGCCCACTGTTCCTCCTGCCTCATCCTCTGACTCACTGGGGCCCTGCTACCCTGCTTCCAGGCCTCTTCTCCCTGAGTCCTTGGTGCTCTTGGGGTTGTCAGTCCTCCCTCCAAGCCCAGGCTCAGTCTCAGGAGAGCCCCCTGGAGGACATCTAGCTAGGCCTTTTGCAGCTTCCAGAGCTCACTGCAGCATAGCTAGCAAGCCTGTGGCCAGAACGGCTTTTCTAAGCATGGACTAAACTACTTTTCTTATCTGAACTCCAGCTTTTTTTTTTCTTAAATTCTTTTATTGGTACATTTTAGGTATACAATACATTTACATTTATCATTGGGTGCTTGTACCTGTACATGATGTATTTT